TTATTATTATTATTATTACAGCAACAAATGACGTATGGAGGCCAGGGCTATGAGTGGCTACTAGTTGTGGTACATTCCCTCCAGGACCATAGGTAGTTGCCTCTGAATATCACTCATTGAGAAGTCAAGCAGGAGGTGCCATTGTACTCATATCCAAGCCTAGACCTTCCCATAGGCATCTGGTTGGCCACTGTGTGTAGAGAAAGCTGGACTATAGGGTTTTGTTTTGATCTTGAATGAATGAATGAATAATTTCAAATATTCTCTTGACACTGAGTAAACCTACAATAGTTCTAATACATTTTTCCAATGATTTTTCACATTTTGTAAAAAAAAAAAAAAAAAGGTCTCCCCTGCCCCCTCCCCCCAGAACTTGAGTCTGAATGAAAACTCTGCCAGAGATTTGAGGGTCTTGAGTAATAGTAGCAGTTTGGAGATACCAAACTGAAATGTCAAGCAAACATGAAATTCAGAAGACGCTAACATCTGAACAGAGTGCTTATGTAATAATATTCTGTTAGTCTCAACTTGAGTAGATCCATTAAACAACTGTGGAATGGGGAGTCAACATGTAGGAAAGTCCCTACTCTAGTTGGGACTTACAATAGGGTTTTCAACATTGTCTAATATTTTGACCAGTGGTTTGGGAGACTACCAAGGAATAGCAAGTGCTGTAGGCTATATTTCAGAGGAGAGAAACAGCAAAGCATCACAATGTATTTCATGCCTAAGAAAACCCCAATGAAATCCATGAGTTACTATAAGTCAGTAGGTGACTTGAAAGCACAGCTGCATAGGCACACAAATATTCCCAGGATAGATTTATATATACAGTATATATATTAGCCACAAGGGATGACTTTTGTGAGAATTAGAAAAATCACCTTGACCTAGAATGCTCTCATCTTTCAGCATCAATTAGCCAAGTCATGGGAAGTCTAGGTAGTCAGATACATACACAAGATGATACCTTCCAAATAACAAGAAAAAGACTCTACTGCTGGATGGCATGGGCTCTCTCTTAAAGAAAAAAAAAAAAGCTAAAGTCTACCAGCCTAAAAATGTTATTTACTTCTTTCTCTGAAACCTACAGTAATGTAATAAAAGAGATACAACCACTACTCTTTTAAACAGGCAGTAGGTCAAGATGCCATTAAACAATGACACTTGGGTTTTGCAACCATGAAATTTTCCTTTAACCATCTACTGTTCTGGCTTATGTGGTTATAAAAGCATATTGCTCCTAAGAGAACAATGTTATAAGGACATGTGTTGATTGTGGGAAACTATTCTGAACCTAAAAGGGAAAAGATATAGCAAAGCAAAGCAAAGCAGCTTCATTTATATACCGCTTCATATCGCGCTATAGGATGTCTAAGTGGTTTACAACTATAAGCTCATTGCCCCCCAACGGTTGGGTACTCATTTTAGCGACCTTGGAAAGATGCAGGCCTGAGTCTAGCCTGAGCCCTGACTAATATTGAACTCGCAACCTTGTGGTCTATGAGTGAGTGGCTGCAGTAAAGGCATTTAACCACTGCGCCACCAGGGCTCCATATATACTTTGTTCCTTTACCTTTGTGAGATTATATTAACACCCATTGGTTTCAGCAGCATGGGAATCTTTCATTTCTTCCTTTGTGGACATTGGACATGTTCAGATATACATCCTGATCTGCACAGCCACAAGCACTTCCTTGTTCACTTCAATGAAAGGATGAACTTAAGGCGTCTATCTTTTTGTGGGCACAGAGCTTGCACAAAATAAAACTGGAAATTTTATATACATTTCATTACACCTCAGATGAACCAAAGGCTAATGAGAACATACTTCAATCAAAGGAATGCAGAGTTCTCAAGGGCAAAAGCTATGGAGGTTTCAAAAACTACAGTCTTCATTTACCTTAGAATTCTTACTGCTGGAAGCTTTAAAACTTGAGGGGGGAAGCAGATGGGCGGCCCTGGGCCACCCCGGGAAGCTGCGCCATGGGGCCAAGGTATCCCACACCTCGGCCCTGCAGCGCAGCTTCTCCGTCCCTGGAAGGAGCGCTAAAATAGCGCTCCTTCCACAAGTCGCCGAAGGTGCACTGAAAGGCTGGCGGCGCACCTTTGGCGACTCTTCCGCCGCAGCGTGTGCAGACACTGTGGTGGGAAGGCATCGTCGGAGCGCCGACCGTGCGGAGGGGCCGGCCCTCCGACGATGCCTTCAGGAAGGGGTTGGGGCGCCCACCGTGTGGCTGCCCCTCCCCTTCCTTGCCCCCAAAACGGCTCTTTGTGCCATCTGCTTCCCCCCTTTAGTCTACATTTATCTCAGAAACTGTATTGTTATTTTCTTTTGTAAATTATATCTATTTGCACATCTAAATGTTGTCTTCTTTATTTTTGTCTTATTCGTCTCACTATGGTCATATGTAGTACCCTAAAATATCATGCAGGGGATGTGGTGGCTCAAGTGGTTAAGACACTGACTATGTTGATTGCAAAATTGACAGGTTGACAGTTCAAGGCCCAGGTGCTGCATGATGGGGTGAACTCCTGTCACTAGTTCCAGCTTTGCCAACCTAGCAGTTTGAAAGCATGAAAATGCAAATAGATAAATAGGTACTACTTTGGTGGGAAGGTAAACAGTGTTCTGTGCAATAATGCCAACCACATGATCCACAGAGTAGTCCTCGGACAATGCTGGCTCTTCAGCTAGTAACGGAGATGAGCACTACCCCCTATGGTTGGACACGACTTGACAACTTTGCCAATGGGGAATACCTTTACCTTTACCTTTTTAAAATATCATACAGGGCTGGATTTAGCAAAATCAATATGAAGGCTCCTCTCAATTTTTTTAAAAAATCAATTCCACATTTGAAAAAAGCTACTAGTGGTTCATGTTTCTCATGACAGAGGGCTGAAGAATCTGCCCTCTGTTTTGACGGCCATTTTTTGAAGTTGGAAAGCTCCTGGTTTTGAAATAAGACTGCCAAAGCGCACTCGGAACTAGGATTGCAGCTAGGCTGGACTCGCCTGGTGGCTTCCATGGCAAAATCCTTATGATAGGACCCGGCTGCCTCCTAAACCGGGTTATTTCAGCAGTGGGATAATCTCTTCAGTCTAAACTTTAAAAGAAGCTACTCAAGGTCCTGTGCCCTTATTCCCAAAATAGGAGATTCACTACCCAACTAACATGGAAGCCGGCAGCCAGCTCTGAAAAAAATCCCTTTGTCATAAAAGGAATGGGAATGCTTCTGTTATTGTTCCCATTTCTGACAAGTAGATTTCTATGAAGGAAAACCTAAGCAAGTTACTTCAAAGTAATCATTTCTTTTAAACAAAAAAAAATCTAGACAGGGAAATTACTGTGAAAACTGTCTAGTGCAAAAACACTCCTAGATATATTACATTCTTCACTATTTTGCAACTGTCAGTTTATGTTAACAGTTTGGTGGTGTCCAATTACATGAAATCGTATTCCTGAGAAAACTTTCTGTAGTCCAAAGGAGATAAACTAGTGAAAAAATAATCTTGAGAGCATAGTCATTTCTTAATACTCTAATCCAAAAATAAACATCCCCCTTTAATCCCATTTGCATTACACTTTCTTTGTTCAAACTGTCAGATGTAAAGACAGCACCAAACAAGTAAGGCCATGCATTACATTCAAATTCCTCAGGTTTCTTATCACATCTAATTTGTTGGGTTATTTGAAAGTTTCTCTGCTTTTCTCCTCATAGAAATTGCTTTCAGACTAGCCCTTCTCTGGAATTACTATCATTCACTGACTCAGCCTGAGTCAGGCTGTGTGGAGTCCAATACTTCTATTATTCTATACTTTTAAGGAGTCCTTTAAAAAAAATGCATGTGTTTTTTGTTTGTTTGTTTGTTTTCTTACTCTTCAGCCAAAAAGTCTCCCAGGACAGTTTACAAATTATTAATTTGACATAGGAAAATGAAGGTGGTATCTGAACTGCAGAATTAATGCAGTTAATGGAAGCCTGGATTTGTACAGTTGGTCTTCTGTTTCATCTTTCTTCTATATTTTCCCCTGTGAATCAAATGGTAGTCACTCTGTGAGGCTTCCTGTGATGTTTTCATAGATCTACACTTTCTGCCATCAATAAATAAATAAATAAATAAAACTGATTGCAGAAAATAAAATATTAAAATAAATAAAACAGTGGAATTAAAAGTGTCTGTGCATGACAAAAGGTTGGTGAGAGAGATCCCTTTCTTTAAAATTATCAGTGAGGGATTTAAACATTTTTGGGTGGCAAAAAAATAAAATACATTTTAAAACAAAAACTACAACACCTATTCATGGCAAAACTCTTTTTCAACAGTTAATTCCATCATCAAGTTTATTTGTCTGTGGCACAATGTTCATTACAAAATGTTACAAAAGAACTACAGGAAAATTGTAAAAATACAACATGCTAACCAACATGCTTACAGGAAAAGTGTCTACATAATACAAGGAAAATACAAGAATTAAAACAATTAAAATTACAGGAAAAATGCCAGGAAAAATCACAATAAGGCTACACAACTGGTCCCCTGCTGATGATTTTAGAAATTTGCAGTAGATCTTT